ATAAATATAAAAATTCCATTTGTTAACATCAATTTTAACATAATTAAATTAAAAATGAATTGAAGTTCTATAAAAATGGCAAAAAAAAAAGAAAAGAAAAGAGAAACAATGCTTTTTTAAAGAAATTGTTCTTTTTATTTTTAATGAAAAGTTAGTCAAGATAATTATTATTATCAATTTTTATTTTTATAATCTTATTTATAAAATTTAAATGTAGTTTGTCATTTTTTTTTTCATAGTAAAATATAAGCATTTATTTCTCTACTAATATTAAAAATATATTAGTAACATTTATATTTTATAAATATAGAAATTCCATTTATAATCATCAACTTTAACCTAATGAAATTAAAAAGGAATTAAAGCTCTATAAAAATATTTTAAAAAAAGGAAACAATATTTTTTTAAATAAAATATCATTTTCAATCATTTCAAGATCAAAAAATCTTTTATAAAAAAATTTACCAAATAGCTTTATACTTTAAAAGTTCCTCAACAAAAAATTTTACCGAACACCTTTAACTTCTTTAAAAAAAAAAAGACTTTTACAACAGATTCTTTAAAAAAGGACTTTCATTAAAAGTTCCAGCTACATCAAACGGACCTTAAGTTCCATGGCACCCTTTAGGAAAATTTTGCTATTGAAATATGTTCAATTATTGACAAAAACCTCAATGAACTTATTATTTTTATCATTCCATTTACAAAGATGAAACCATGGAAATGTTTACTCTTCTTTTTTAAATTTCAATTTAGCATTTTCTTTAGATTTTATTTTTAAAGTTTTATACAATTTTTTTGGTGGTTATTTAGGTGTAATAGTGATTTCCAACACCATGCTCAATATTAGGATTTTTATAAATAATGATATTTCTGAAGTTATAGCATGTAAAGAGAGATAATGTTATTATTTTTAGTAGTTTTTTTTCTTTCCTATTATGTATTGACATTTTTATTTTTACTTAAATTTAATGTTTGTAAGATTCTTGCTGGTGAAGGGGTTCAAATTAAAAAGTCAAGTACGGTAGGCTTTGGCATGTTGTCACTTGATGATGAAGTTTTGCATTCCACCTTAAGGAAGACTATTGTGGCAATTAAAGAGCTCAGATAAGTAGTTCTTACATTGTTTTCCTTATTTCTATTTCAAGTATTATATTTTATTATTTTGTTTACTTATTGTATTATATATTTTTATTTGTAGGCTATGACATGTTTGACTTTTACTGAGATTATTTTGATTATCTACACACAATTGGTTCTACAAATCTTGCTATAATTGTACAAATGATGTTGAGCAAGACTTTAGAATATAATATTACAAAAAATGTGAAAAGGGATGATCGAGTCCTAAATTGAGGTTTGTAATTTGAAATTCAATAGAATTTTTTTTATAAACATAAAAAAATATTAAATTTTTATTAAGTTATATTTTTAATTGTTTAATATTGATTTCATTATTTTTTTTTTACAAAGGTATTGCATTTAAGTCCAGGTAGTTGATGAAACTAATGCTACATCTCTCATTCTTTTTTTATTTTGTTATAATGGGATGTCTCAATATATCTATCTTTGATTTACATGACTTACACTTGACAAGGATAATTTTCATCATTACTTTCAAGACTTATTTTTATGTGTATGATTTAATCTTTAGGTATAACCGTTTTGATCATATAATTAATTTTAATTATACAAGAGTGGCAATCTATAAACCTCTTGTTGAGCTTAATGCCCTAAAGAATAAGAAAATGATTTTTAGGTTGAGCATCAAACGAAATGACATTAACAGTTTTGAAGGAAGCACTACAAAGTTCAAAAGATTTTCTTTGATGAGAAGGTCATTGATAGTTTTTTACATACCGCTGGACAAGTATGTTTACCTATGTATATTACATTTTTATTCTTAAAGGTCAGATCTTTTAAAATTTTTGTTTATAACTTAATTATGTAGGAATCTTCTGAAATTCAAAACTTTCATGTGACAAAAATACAAGTGTTTCAATGAAACATATTAATGGGGTGAGTTTATACCTTTCAATAAAAATTATATCAACTTTCTATTACCATAAGTTAGTATGATGTTTTATAGTTTCAATACTTAATATTTAATGTTGGTAATATTTTGTGATTATAGGATAAGATTTCTCACATAAGAGATAATTGTATTGAAGATGGATCGAAGGAAGGACATATCTCTTCAAAGGTCATTTACTAAGTTTGGTTTAGATGAAACTTCTGATAGCCTACTTCAACAATTTGCAACAAAGATCAAGAAGCTCATAAAGAGTAAGACAAAATTGATGACTATTTATGTGTTTGATTGAAACTAGATTATCAAGCTATGTTTCACTATATAAACTACATAAAATAATTAAATATGTAATGTTTAAATGAAGAATATCAAGTGTTTTGTTTTATTAAATGTCTTCTATAAGACATAGCAATAGCAAAATGGGAATATATATTTTTTTTTCCATCTTTTTACACTATTTAAACTTTTAATTATAATTATTATTTTTTACCATGTTTTTTTTATGAGAATTTGATACTGTTTAGTCTTCTTACTATTTATGTGTTGTTCCACTTATTCCATCTTTTGTGCTCATGGAGTTTAATTAATAATTGTCATTTTCTACTTTACAATAACTATATTCAACTTTTTGCATATTAGTTTCATAGATGATATTTTAGTAATTGAATTTATATTTCATATTTGGCAATGATATGTCTATTGATCAACTTTTTCATTACCATATTTGTTTAGAATTTTAATCTTCTTAATTGTGATTTTGTTTCACATATGTTTTTCATTTAAGAGCATTTAATATTGTGATTGGTAATTGAAAATCTTTTTATAACTATTTTTTAGATCATTTGTCTCTCATACCAGTTATTCTATTTACTTTTCCCATTTATGCTCCTCATTTATCTATTACATTTGTTTTTACAATAGGGAGTTTTGATCTTTGTAATTATGATTTTGTTTCATAGATGTTTTTCGATTAAAAGTATTTAATGCTGCCCTTGATAAGTGAACATCCTTTTATAATTTATTCTTTTTTTATCCTTTATCTCCCATTCCACTTATTTTATTTGCTTTTCTCATATATGCTCTTCATTTATCTATTTTTCATTTATATTTTCAAAACAATGGCTTATAATCTTCTTAATTATGGTCTTCTAAATTTTGTTTTCTTATTTATTTTCCGTACTAGTTATTTTATTTTCTTTTTGCATTATTTGTCTCTCATTCCACTTATCCAATTTTCTTTCCTCATTTATGCTCCTTATTTTTTTTTTTTTGGTTTATTCATGTTTTCTAACATTTTATGCTTCCCTTTTTAATTGTTTATGCGTTCCTATTATTATAGGGATCTAAAAGGTAAAAGAAAATCAAGTTTGTGTGTTGAGTTTACTAATGCTAACTCGTGCATACTTGTGGCCAGTCTACTAACTGCTTCTGTTTTGGATACCTCCCAACTGTTAAATAGATCTCCAAGTCATAATGCCGAAATGAAGAAGAAATGTGACAAATTTCTATTTCCTATCTTAGATTATGGTTGTAGTGAAGTTTTGTGAAGGGAGAGTTTTGAATTTTTCAGAGAAAATGCACCTAAATATTCAGGGGGTTCTAATATAACATAAATCCTTATTTCATATTTTCTTATCAATGTTATATGATTTTTT